TGAATGGTTGATACAGGAATTTGAACCGTTATGAACTGATTGTCCTGGTAGGTAAATGGATGTAATTCGCTCACTGACAGCTTTGTACGTCAGCAAAAATCTTAGGAGGATAGGAGTGGCCTGGTACAGATGGGCAACACTGGAATGCTGTCAAATAGGAACAGGGCGCTCTGAATGCATTCACTCCACTCGCATTTATTGAAGCCTACCATCACGGACTTCTGCGGAATGCTCTGAGGGATCCAAAGGAAGACAGCTTTAATGTTAATGGTCTTGAGAAAAAGCCACAGCCTTGACGTGCAATGACTGCTTTGTGTTTGGAATCTCACAGAAAACATTCCAATTCTACCCTATGCAGATTTGTGGTTTTAATAACTAAGACTACCTTTCTTCTTTGATAAACAGTTACTGGGAATAACTCTCTCAAGTGTATTTTTGGCAGGCAGATTACATGAGGACTTCTAAAAGCTTCTTGAGAAACGTCCATTGTCCTTTAGTTGCATTTCCCACGAACTTTTTGAAGCCCGTTGTATCCAATGATCTATGTAAAATACTCTGTGGAGTTGGGTTTTCCTTTGGCTGTGAGCAATTCAATGCCATCAGCTGTTCCTGAGAGCAAAATGAGGCTTTCTACAGCCACAAAGAGGGACCTGCTCTGAACTGCCCAAGAGCAGTTCTACCTTGTCTAATGGGTCACCTGGATGCCAATATTATAAAAAAAGAAAAAAAATGAAATAATTTCATTTAGAACATTTATTGACTGGCTATTACTTTTGAATTCCAGATTATATTTTATAATACCTCACATAAGTATTTTATGTGAACTTAATGTAAAATACTTTTTAGTTTTTCAGAACACATAAATGCACTGACACTTTCCAACAAGTTTTAAAAGTTTGTCCCATCTCATATAATGATGCTCTTGAATGGAACCTAGTTCTTTTATATAGATAGTCCTCAATTTACAACATACTTTAGTTTGGTGAATTGAACTTATGAATGTCTGGCGTTTTTGTTGTTGTTATTGCTGTTTTCATATATAGAGGGTTACAGTGCATAATTTGCTCACGTTATCATTATCAGATGTTCATGTATATATATGCAATGTTATGTTTATAAGGATGCCAATGAAAGATAGACAATAATAGTGAAAACAAATCAAAAAGAGGTATTCTACTTTATGACAGAATCAGTGGGACTACTTGTACTCTCAAATTGATTTGTTGAAAAGGATCCAAACTTAGAGTTAAAAAAGTGCAGTGGATGATGGGGTCAAGAGGCCCAAATAACATTTCTACTGCATTTATTGAGAGAGTTTTGGATGCCAGAAATTATTTCTAAGCACTCCATATATAACTCATTTGGTCTTCACCATCCGACTATTGCCTCTATTTAATAGATGAATAAACCAAGGCATAGATATTTTTATAATTTGCCTATGGTTATGGAAATATCATTAATACACTGATGATAGATACACTGATCAAACCTGGGCATGCTAGTTTCTGACACTGTGCTTTTCCACCATGGATATTGTGCAGGCATAATGGAAACAAAATGAAAGGTGATTTTGCTAAGAGATTAAAAACAATTGACACCAAGTTGAGGCGGGGGATTCTGTGCATGTCAGAGTAGAATTGTGCTCCATAGTGCAGGTGTTTGTGGAGTAGATCACCTGGGACTTCTTCAGAGCTGCGTCTGGATGTATTCCAATCACCAAACTTTCAAAGAGCAGCCAAGAATTTAACCACTTGCCCCACTCAGAAGCGATATTTGACTAGTATCTGTGTCACATCTATAATTTAGATTTAGGGAAAGAATACCAATGCAGACTAAGTGAAAAAAAACATGATTGTTCAAGTCTCATTGTCTGGCCTGCCACGAAGCTTAATCATTTGCAAAATAGAAATGCTAACATTCTTAACAAGAGATTGTCAAAGGAGAAAAACATGTGAAATCATCCAGGTTTGACTTGTTCAAGCTCTTGAGATTTTCAGTGATGCTATGAGAATGATCAACTGAGTTCAGTTCCCTGCCTCTTGTCCCATGGTAAATATATATTACTTTTTACCATATGGATTGTAGTATATGGAACGTTTGAGTTTAATTCACAATCAACATGAGGTAAGATGGGACAGAGGTCCAAAATTATGAGATCAATTTCTTTTCCTTATAAATCACAAAGTTATAATGGCTCAATTACACCAAAATCGTATGTGGGCTATCTTCCCTTTTGGCCTTTCCTTTATCAGGAGCTCTGGTGACACAGTGGTTATACATTGGATTGTCATCTGCATGGTGGGCAGTTTGCAACAACCCGAAGCTCTGCCTGAGAAAGACTGGGCTTTCTCCTCCCTTCAAGAGTTCCAGTCTCAGAAATCTATGGGCGCTCACTCTGAGTCAGCATGCGCTCGATGGCCGTGCATTTGGTTTGGGTGTTCTTATGGAGAATAGTCCAATTGCATGGTTCTGTGATTGACTTCTTTTTCTTTTACAGTGCAATAATGAGAAGTACTAAATGTAGCCTCTCAGGGCACCAAACTCATATGGTAAAGACAATTCATACTTAGTATGATGTAATATAGCAGAGGTGAAGAGTTCAGAAGTCCAAGACTCATTTCAGAGCAAATCTCAACATTACTTGATCTTGAAAAAGTCATGTTGCCGCTGAGTATCTATGTAACATTGAAGAGCTTTAGTGTAGCTGTAAACTAGTCTGCCACCGGAACTTAATATTTATTCTATATCCTACTGAAACCTGAGTAGAATGAAGTGAACCCTCGTTTATCGCGATTAATCGGTTCTAGACCCTACCGTGATAAATGAAATTCCGCGAAGTAGGATTCCTTATTTGTAAATCAAATATTTTCATAGTTAGAGCATAGAGGACATGGAAAAACACCCTTTAGTCACCATTACACTCGTATTACCCAATTTATTAAACGAAAAAGGGAAAATACAGTAAAACATTTTGGACGTTACAATTATCATTTATTATTTATTATATCATTTATGGCATCAAGCGTGTACAGTATGAGCCAATCAGTGGCAGTAATGACAGAGCATGCGCTGTTACGCAAAAAACGCGATAGAGTGAAGCCACGGAAGTCGAAGCGCGAAGTGGCGAGGGTTCACTGTATATGTGGCCAAGTTCAAGGTTCCTAAATTCCTCCTAGGAAGAAGAAGCCAACTGAATGTCAGAAATTAGACCTCTCTACATAGTAAAAATGATGATTGGCAAACCCTCTCTCTAGCTCTCATTGGAATGCCTTAGGTTACTGGGCTGGAACAAGAAAAGCACACGCTTCAAGTCCTAATTGTTTGTTCTCTTTGAAGTCCCACTGGTACCAATTTTCTAGAAATAGAAACTAGATCAAAGCCGTAGAAGGACCTGAACCCATTAAAAAAAAAAAAATCTGTGTTTTCCCTCTCTAATGACTTCTACAGTGTAAAGTTTCAAGCAAAATGCATCCATTGTAATTTTCATTGAAATAATATAATTTTATGTGGATATCTATTATTTAAAATATAAGAAGCACAAAGAAGGCAAAATTATGACAATACTAGCAAACTCTTAGAGTGTAGAAACACCCTTCCTCAAAGTCTACTTGTCAGGCTTAACCATTTTCCCATCCTGAACATGAGCTGTACTTAGTGATTCACTTCCAAAGAACTAATAAAGATAGGGGAAAAAATAACCACTTTAAATATAAAATGTCAAAATTGTCAAGTTATAAAAAGTAAGAAAAGACTGAGAAATCCATATCTGAGGAGACTAGAAACGCATGACAATGAACCGCAATGTGTCACCCTGGGTTGGCTCCTGCAACAGAATCAGGACAAGGATGGAAAAACTGGTGAAATTCAAATAAGGTTGGAAATAATTATGTAAAAAGTGCTACACTAATGTTCATTTCTTGGCTTTAACCGTCGTCGTCGTAATGTAGTAATATAAGATGTTGACAACAGAGGAGATGATCGAGGAATGTTTGAATGTCCTGTAATGTCTTTAAATGTTCTTTACATCTAAAATTATTCCAAGGTAAAAATGTTGTTTAAAAAGGAGCATATTATAAACAATCACCATATAATCAAATACTTTGGTTGTGTATCACCACCTCATTTCTAAGCAATATGAAATATGCTAAAAGAAGAAAATATTGAAATTGTCAAGGATTTCTATTTTACTTCGATCCATAATCAATACTCATGGATGCAGCAGTCAAAAAATCAGATGACTGGTAAATCTATTGCACAAGATCTCTTTAAAGTGTTCAGGAGTAAGGATATCATTTCGAGGACTAAAATGTGCCTTTCCCAAGCCATGGTATTTTTAATAGCATCATATGCATATGAAAGTTGGACATTAAATAAGGAAGACCAAGAAGAACCAATGCATTCAAATTATGGCACGGGCAAAGAATATTGAAGGTAGCTTGGGCTTCCGAAAGAACTAACAGCTCCGTCTTGGAAGAAGTGCAGGCAGAATGCTCCTTGCAAGGGTAGTGGTGAAACTTCATTTCAAGTACTTTGGACATGTTACCAGGAGAGACCAGTCCCTGGAAAAGGACTTGTTGGTAAACTAGAAGGACAGCTTCCAAGAGGAAGACTCTTGACAAGATGCATTGATACAGTGGGTGTAACAATGGACTCAATTGTGAGGATCAATCCGAACCAGGCAGTGTTTTGTTCTATTGTACACGAGACCAACTCCATGCACCTAACAAAAACAACAACATAACATCTATGGGGATAAGTACGTTTCCAATAAATGTGAGGTTTGTTTTTATAGCTGGGATCATTTTGATTCTATGATCACTACTGAAATCCCTCCCATCAAGTTCTTTCCTTCTTACATGTGATGTCCCTGTACTTCTGTTTTCTCTGCACTGAGATTGTGCTCCTTGACTTTAGAACTCCTGGCTCAGTCTGAACGTACTGGGTGTTTACGCCAACTTGGGAGAGCAGCGTTGTGATTTCTTTTTATTGTTCCATTTCAGTGTCATCCCAGTGGCTGTTTGATAGACCTCTGCCTCCAGATGGGTGTCATCATGTTCTTGAAACAGATATGGAATAACTTCATGGAACTGGGATACCCGTGAGCCCCCTTTTAAAATATTACCATGTACACAGTTACAAAAAAGAAATAAGTAGGTAGTGTGATCAGTGCTTAAAGATTTGGGCATGGCAATCAAACTGATGAATGTTCACTTCCCACCCTGTACCTTATTACATAAGTCAGTTACCTTTCTGTGCCTCAGTTTTCACCGCCAAAAGGAGATCAACAGCTATGTCTACCTCAACAGCTACTAGAATGATTAAAGCAAATAATGGATGTAGAGTTATCTTAATTTTGGAAATTGGGACCCAAAGGATATGTTAAGTGTATTCCCAGGACAGTAGCTGTTTGTTGTTTGTTTTTTCGTATTGTCAATCTCATACTCAAGATAATGCTCAGAAGGTTTGCTCTTTACTGTGATGCAGGCTGATCCAGAACTGGTGGTCCAGACATAAAATCAAGCGAGGAAAGCAAGATGCTTCCATACCTCAGTGGGAAAACGACTGGAATCTGCAGCCTATGAACATCCATGGACTGATGGATGAGTACTTAGAAATGGGTACGGGAAGTGGGAACACCTCCCTGTTAGGCTTTCATGGAACTATTTTCCTTCTTTTGAGCGGGGGGCACTTCTCAAATAGAAAAAAATGTTTCTCCTCACTTCTAAACTGAAGCATGCTGAAACTCATCTCCACCTTTATCTCAACAGAGTGAGAAAAGGTATTAAAGTAGTGAGTCTCCTGATGATGCTCAATGTTTCATTCTTCGAAAGCTTTCACATCAGCAATATTTCCTTTTCAGAATATTTTCATAATCCATCTGAATCTTACTATATTCATGAAGCTTATTCATTTACCTGAAATAAATAAATGCTTACATTCTGGTTGTTTGAACCACTGTGTGTTTCCTGAGGAAGCCCTAGTAGCACTGTGGCTAAAGCACTCTGCGGCTAATCTAAAGGGCAGCGTTTTGAATCCTCCAGGCATTCTGAAAAAGAAAGGTGTGGCCCGCTACTTGCATAATTATCTGCAGCCTCAGAAACCCTATGGGACAGTTTTACTCTGTCCTGTGGGGTCACTGTGAGTCTGAGTTCACGCTTCAGTGTGAGTTTTGTTTTACTGTGGCCTTGACATTTGCTTTCTCCAGCCTTAGTTTTCTGATCTATAAAAAAAAGCAAAGGCAAGATTAGCTGACTCAGGTCTCTTCTTGTGCCAATTCTTTTTCTTTAATCCCCCTTCCTCCCCTAGTCTTTCCTGTATGCTCTGTGGCTCCATGGAGTACACACGGAAAGCACATTTCAACCCATGCAGATTTGAGTTTGAACACAGGTTCTAGAACATTCTCGTCTGTGTCCTTCAGCAACTGTATGTAACACATCTGAGCTATGGTTTTCCCAAGTGTAAAAAGAAAGAAGCATACTTAACGGGCTATGGAAAGAATGAAAGGCAACTTATGGAAAACATCGCATCTGACACAAAGAAGCCATGCAATAAATGATACAATGCCATTCATTTTCTGATCCCTTCCTCCTAACAGTTTTGCAGTTTGGTTTTACCACCATCTTTGTGGCTGCTTTCCCGCTGGCCCCTCTGCTGGCTTTGTTAAACAACGTCATCGAAATCCGGCTGGACGCCTACAAATTTGTCACCCAGTGGCGGAGGCCTCTGCCAGCCCGAGCAACTGATATTGGTAAGATTTAGAAATCAAATAGCCTTTACATGGTTATGGCCAGGAGACGACTTGATCTTACTTAAGTAGCACTTGGCTTTCTACTCTTAGAACGCTCATCCAACATTAACAAAACCAAGCAGCTTTAGTGAAGAAAACTTAGTATATTGGATATATGAACAAGTTATAGTAGAAAACCTGAAATGATTCACTGGGGAAAATACTGCATATTATTTCTTGTCCAATGTCTAGAAACTTATTTTCTTTATTAAAATATTCTTATAAGAACTTATGTATTTGGGAAAATGGTTTCCTCTGTCAGGTTTCTGTGCTCCACTGGGAGAAACAGGTGGCACCACCCCCACTCCCTCCGTGTTTCTTGCCGTGTGACCACTCGACCGAGCTTGCTGTCCTGGTTTGCAGGAAGCATGACTTTAGTTTAAACAAATAGACTAACTGTATTCTACAAATTCAAGTTCCTGAGTACTCAGCTCCAAGTATCTCACATTCTTAATAAACAAAACCCTTGATTTGTTTAAAACCTTCAGTCACGCCCTTAGCCAGTGAACAGTTTTGCAATACTTTGGGCTCTATGGCATTCCCTATTTCTCTTCCCATTTCTTTCTCTTGATTTTTCTTTCTTGCCCCAGTGTAACTAGTTGCAACAGGATTTGACCAAAACACTGCAGCAATCATTGGAAATGAGTTATTTTGTATCACAGAAAGTGCTCAATCACATTATTTGGGATCATATGTGCATACAACTAGGAGATAGCCCAATGCTGTATACTGCATTGTATTTGCAAATTCAGCATAATCTGTGTATCCATCGTAGTTCTTGGATCCCCCCTCAAAACACCATCTACTCATTACTCAGTTCCTCTTCATTCATCAGCGGTGCATGTGCACTGCCTTCCTCCTGCAGACAAAAGTGAGGGCTCATCGAGGACACGGTCCAGATGCTCAATGAAATGCTCTTGACCTTGCACTGTGTTCTTATTCAGTCCCACACTGCCACCATGTGAGCTGGCCCCAGGCTCCTCAGCCTCCACGCCCAATGGGCAAAAGCCAGCAAGCAGCCACATAGAGCAAGTATCTGAGCAGCTGCAGGGATCCCATGGTCTCTGGCATCGTTGTGGACACGAAGCCTTTCAAGATCAGCCCAATTAATATTTGTAAGCTACTTTCAATCCTAGTTGAAACATTGGTCTTTACTATGCTGACCGGCATATTGATTCTGCTTGCAACTTTGAAAGTTTCACTTATCTACGTGATGCTGGATGGACCACTCACAAGATAAAAAACATGTCAGATGATGATTTCCAAGATTTGACACACAACTAGGTTTATTTTTTTATGTCATTATTTAGACAAGGTACTCGACAGATGTGTAGATAAAAGCCCATAGTGAACTGGAACTTGCCAACCACGGAGACCTGGAAAGGGATTGCTTGTGGGTTGTGTTTGCTCAGCACAGCTGTGCTTTTCTTTAGGCTTTGAAATGTCTTGGGCAGCTGCCTCCAACATTACAGACCACGACTCATATGACAGCGGACTCCCCAAGAGATCTCAGTGTTTCTCTCGCCAGGGCTGGTCTGCCTTCCCTTGGTAGAAAGTATATTTTAAAAGTTTTGTATAGTCATTGCTGGTTGCTTTTTCACTTTGTTTGTTTGCTTCCTGTTTGTGTTTGGTATGTTTTTTTGTAAAGGAAACAGGATAGGTAAATCTAGAAAGACATTGACTGGATTGAAAGTTACTGAGGGTCCTGGAAGGGGAGAAGGAGGGGAACTAGGGAGCTAACAGAGATGAGCACAAGAAGAAAATGCTTTGACATTGACTGGTGATATGAAGTTGACTCCTAAATATGATTAAATGGTTGAATTGTATGATATGGGAAGTTTATACCAATAAAACTTCAAAGTGTATTATCTGGCGTGAGATATTGTATGAAGAAATTAAATCATGTCCTAGCTGTGGTTACAATAGACAAATTGAGACATCCTTTCCAAAATAAGATGGTTTACAGTATTGTAATGATGTTCTCCTATCTGGAATCGTTTTCTACTTCTTCCTAGGCATCTGGTACGGGATTCTTGAAGGACTCGGCCTACTGGCCGTGATCACCAATGCATTTGTAATCGCCATCACATCTGACTATATACCGCGCTTAGTCTACGAGTACAAATATGGCCCATGTGCAGATAGACTAATGAGCAGTCACAAGTAAGGCAAACATTTGTACATTTCTATGATATATATTTATGCTTGTAATTAAAATGGGACTTTAACAGGAAGCTTTTCTGTGACTACTGAGGATGTTTTTGATCCTTCCATTTATGTGTTTCATATATTAGGGCAGATGAGTAAAATAGTGTTTTTACCAGAAATACTTTACCATTTACGTTTTCACTTATAAATGTATCGCAATGATCAAATGTTAAAAAAAACTGCAATGTATTTAGAAGTCAAATGCTCGTCTTAGGAGTGGCCTAAGAAACAATGAAGTGCAGTCCTCTGAATGAACAGATGAGGAACTTGAGAAATTGTCATTGCTGGGGTTTCAATAGATAACCAACTTCTGGAAGTAACGGAGCAGAGGGAAAGGGAGGGCCTTCCAGAGCCCCAGGTCTGGAGCAAGTGGTGCGCCCTCCCTGGGACAGAAGCTGTCCTCTCTCCTTCAGGGGCAGCTCTGCCCCTTCCTCCAGTTAATCTGGATGCAGGACATATTCCCCAACAAACTCTCCACCTCGTAGCTGGAGATGATTGGGAGAGCTTGCTGAAAATTCAATCATCTCTTAGCCCTAGTGGCATCTTAATCAGCGGTTCAAAACTACCAGCCAATCCACAAGAAAAAGACAAGACTTTCTACTCCCATAAAGAGTTATGGTCTCAGACACCCACAGGGGCAGGTCTACCCTGTCCTGTAGGATCACTATTAGTGGGAATGACTCAGAGGCAGTGAGGTTTTTGTTTTTGTTTTAAATTCACTCTGCTGACCCACCAACACTTTCCCTAAACACTGAGATGCCTTTCTGAACACAAATGCCTTCCTTTTCCAAAAAGAGAATAAAGCAATGGGTACGGATGTACTTATTCTATCTGATTCATTAACATATTTGACACCTCCCAAAGGCCTTTAACTTGGAACCCTCTTGCTGCATTCAGACTTTGCATTCGTCTTTCGCTAAAAGTCATAGAATCAATCTGGACCTGGTAGGTTCATAACAGCCACAACAAACAACAACAAAAAGCGCAGGTGTTACAGGAGAAATTTATACAGCGTTTTATGAACCCTAAGATGCTGGTCTAAAGACAAAGTTCTATTATTAACAGTGAAAAGGAAAAAGCCCCCTTTCCTCCAAATTAAAAGTTATTTGAGAAAGGTTTTATGGGTTTTAAATTTCTTTGGCAAACCTATTTTCTGGAGTCTTATTTGCTGGTGTCTCTGCTGTCACCTAGTGGCAGGAGAGAATTCTGTCTGTAGGTTATCACCGGGTTTTCAATTCAGAGCCTGCCTTCATCCTTCAAACACATCACTCACTCCCTCACTCATGGCATAGGGATGTAGACTGATTTCAAGAAGGGATGTATAGGACTTATATACGGTTGAAGCCCTTGTGCTTAATTCTTTGCTGGTGTGCTTAGCAGCAAAATTGGACTAGATTCATCGAGATTAGATATTTTCAGAGCAAGGTGACTCAAAGTGGTCATGGAAAGGAGGCTATTAGCAAGGCTAGACTTGAAAAGACACATTTTAAGGACTAGAAGGACAGATAGTGTCCCACTGTTTCTGGTGGCAAATACCTCAGAAGTGATCCACCTCATCTTTCATCCTAGTCAGTCTTTGTCTAGAAGCTCCATGAAAAACTGTCCGTCCTGGGTGACCTTGCTGTATTTGAAATACCACTGGGACAGCTTCCAGCATCACAGTCACCTGAAAGCAACCTGCGTTCCACTGGGTTTTTTGAGAGAATTAAATCCAGTGACATGCATCTATGTATAAGGAAAACATTTCTATCAAGAAGTGGTTATGTATCAAGAAGGCATCCCAGCCCAGACCAAACAATGTCCATAAGAGGGATGCTACTCCGTAAGCCCCCTTTCATATCCATACACCTGCAGGCAAGGACACAGGAAGGTGATACAGAATACAGCAACATCACAGGCTGGGATGTGCATAGTCACATGGATCCAAGGTCCTTAGAAACATGGCAAAGGATGGAAGGATCTCAGATCAAGCAGCCCACAGGACAGAAGTCCAGCATGCAGGAAGGCAAAAGGACAGAGAGAGAAGCTATGAGTTTGGGGTTTATTAACAAAGAAAACCAGTTACTACAACTATTATTCAAATTTATACAGGAGCCACTAATGGCAGTGATGGGGAAATGAGGTAATTATACCAACTTTTTCTATCTGAAATTGATCAATCATCAAGCTGTATTGGTCATTCCTGGTGACGGTAGTGTGAAAGAAGGAAATAGAGAGGAAGGATAAGTAGTTGGAAATATAGATAACCTTGGTGATAGAAATGAGGCTGACGATCAGATGACAGAATGTTGCAAGGCGGTGACAACTTCATTGCAAATACTTTTCCAACAACCTAAACAGTGATTCTACACAGGGACCAACTGGAATACATAGGAATCATATTGACCACATCTGCCGTGGGAAGAAACAATGGGGAAACTCAGTAGCATCAGGCAAAACAAGGCCGGTGGCAGACTGTGGGACAGACCATCAATTGCTCATATGAAATTTCAGAGTGAAGCTGAAGAAAATTAAGACAACTCCTTAAGAGGCAAAATATACCTGGGTATAGCTCACCTGAAGTTAGAGAACGCCTTATGAGCAGATAAGGCACATTGAATTCTAATGATCTAAGAGCAGATAAGTTATGAAATGACATCAAGAACTATGTGCATGAAGAAAGTAGAACATCATTAAAAAAAAGCAAAGTGTCTATCAGAAGAGTCTCTGACTCTTGCTCTGTAGAATAGAGCAGCTAAACCAAACGATTGCTATGATGACACGAAAGAGCTGAACAGAAAAAGTTTAAAGGGCAGCTAGAGAAGACAAATCTCAGTATTATAATGGACTGTACAAGGACCCAGAGTTAGTAAAACAACAGGTCTGCATTTCTTAAGCTGAAAGAAGAAAGAAAAAAGTCCAGCACCGAGTTGTAATATTGAAGGATTTTATGAGGAAAATATTGAATAATGCAGGAATCATCAAGAGAAGATGGAAAAGGTACTAATAGGCACTATCAAAAAGAATTGGTGGCTGGTGAACCTGTTAAGAGGTAACATGATCAAGAATGAATGGTACTGAAAGAAGGAGTCGAAGCTGCATGAGAAGCATTAGCAAATAACAAAGCTTTGGGAATTGACAGACACCCATTGAAATGTATCAAAATAATGGATAGGGCATTGGAAGCACTCACTAAGTTATGCTTAGAAATTGAGAAGACAGCTAGCTGGCCAGCAGACTGAAAAAGGTCCATATTGGCACCCATTCCAAATAAAGGCGATTTACTAGAATGATTTCATTAATTTCACAAGCAGCAGTACAAGCTAGATTTGAAGAGGAAGTGGCACAAGCGATATCATTGCTAACATTAGATAGATCTGGGCTGGAAGCAGAGAATATTTAAGATATGTCTACTGGTGTTTGGTTGACTCTGGGAAGGCTTTTGACTGTGTGGGTCACATTAAACTATAGATAACTCTGAGAAGAATGGAAGTTCCAAAGTGCGTATGTGGAATGGTACATAAACTAAGAGGCACTGGTTCAAACAGAACAAGGATATAATGCTTGGTTTAAAATTAGGAAAGGGTTTTGTCCTTTTACAAGACTTATTCAACTCCTATGTGGAGCAAAGAATACAAGAAGCTGGACTAGATGAAGAAGCAGAGCATCAGGATTGAAGGGCATCTCATTACCAACCTACAACATAAAGATGACACAATTTTGCTTGTTGACAGCCAAGAGCACTTCAGAAACTTGTTGATGAAATCAAAGACTACAGTTCGACCATGGGTGACAACTCAATGTAAAGAAAACCCAAAGCCTCAAAACTGGACCCAAAACAACATCATGATAAACACAGATCATTCATATTGTCAAGGCTTTCTTGTTATTTGGATCCATGACAGTCAAGAAAGGAAATGAGTAAATTGCTTCACAAGACCTCTTTAAAATAGGAAAGAACATATGTGTCATTTTGAGGATTTTTTGTGCCTGGTTTAAGCTATGCTAGTTGTAATTGTCTCTCATACATAAATGAAAGCTCGGCAGTGAATAAGGAACATCAAGAAGCATTGGCACATTTGAATTGTGGTATTTTCAAATAATATTGAATATCTTTGGCTGGATTCTCTGGAGAAGTAAAACCAGAGAAGGCAATGTATGTGTAGATATGAAGAGAAGTTCATCTCAAGGTAATGGCAAGATCCAAACCCATATGTCAGATGTTACACTGGAGGCTTCTCCTGACTTTCTTAGCTGTGGGGACTGGTATATCCAAGATCAGCTGGAAGCAGTCAGGCTTCTTCCTGCAGGGGTGAAGCAATCCAAGGTCAGCAGGTGAAATGGCAGCCTAATATTTTACCAGCAGACTTCTGGGATCTGCAAGCAGTATAACAGGACTTTGACTCTAGTTCAAAGACCTAGAGGTAGTAGGCAAGGCAGAGGCAGGATCCAGACCCACCAAAAAGCAAGCAAGCTTGCTGTGTTAGTCTGGTTGGACTGGAGAAACAAATTCGTAGACACACATTTGTATATACGGAAGAGATTTATATACAAGAGCAATTGTACATTAAGAAAGCATCCCCACCCAGTCCAGTCCAAGTCTGTCAGTCCGATACTAGCCCATATGTCTGATACCAATCTATAAAGACCTCTTGAGACTCATGAAACACATGAAATGTAGCCAAATATAGGATGATCACATGTGGCTTGTCTTCTACAATATCTCCCAGGGAGTAGCAGAGAGAGAGAGAGAGAGAGAGAGAGAGAGAGAGAGAGAGAGAGAG